GAGGAGGAGGAGGAGGAGAACCCAGTGCTTTAATTATTAAAAATGTTTTACATAGTACTTTTAATTGTGCTAATAGTGTTAACTATGATATATTTCACTCTTTAGTTTCATACTGTGGCCTATTTGTATATGGAATGAAATTGGTTGTTTTTAAATGAAACTTTATGGTGTTTTGCATCATCTCAGTCTGCCCCAGGTGCTTGCTCCCAGACAAGATAAGCTGCACTTCAGCAGCATATTGTCAGAAACATAGGCTTACAGTATGAAAAATACCTGTTTGCTTCCGACTCACACCACATAATTTCCTCCCCCCACCTCAAGCAATAGGCTAAGAGGCAAGATGTTTAATCAGAACTGGCAGAAGGTAGGGGGATTAAATCTCCTGGCATGTTCATCTAGTTCTCCTACAATTGCAATACAATTTATTAGTACATAATTCATTCTACTTATATTGCACTGAATTCCTTTCCATGTGCTCTTAGAACACAACTGGATCATATATAGTGAATGCAAATCCTGGCTAAGGGTCTACTTGGAATTAGACCCTATATTCTGCTCTTGATAAGAGTCGGTCTCTAATACAGAAGTCAAGGTCCAAGGTGATGTCAATGTAGGAGTGATGCAACTGTTGCAAACATCTAACACTCTGAGCAGGTTCTAATCCCAAGCAAATCAAGCTGTGGAATGAAAGAAATATTAGTTTAACATTCAACTGTTTTGCAGGCAAAAGCAGACTGATCATTCTTAATGCAATTTTATCCTTAATTTCTTTCTTTTACCAACACCCTCAAGCCTTTTATTTTCTCAGTGCAGCTCTAATGATCAAACCAATGAACATAAATAATGCTTAGAACACCAGGAGCCTCTTTGTAATAAGATATTCAAATAAAACTCATTTCTTTTTTTGTTTGTTTGTTTGTGTTTTTAATTTTGCTTAGCTTTATAGAAATATTGGTCTATTACCACAAAATAGATTGGAATAGCTTTGAAACCTAACAGGCTACAGTAATAAATCTACATCTTAACCATTTTAATTAATTGAGATGTAATATAACTCTTTTTTGTATGTACCGTATATGTATCATATTTCCTTTCCTACAATTCAAGATAGTGTGCATAAACTTTCACCAATACCCTCATATATCCTCCTAACAACATTGGAGATAGATAAGGCTAAGAAACAATGGGTAGATTTGCACTCACCGTTTAAGTTGCTTTTCTTGTACGATTATGCTAACGTGACTCTAAATCAGTTTAAGAAAATTATGTCCAGACTGAGATACTTTGGCAACTGCTTTCCGGGTATTCAGTCTGAACTGCAGACTACCATATTCCCCCAACCCTCTGGATAATTCCCTGTTGCTATATCCTCCAATCTTTCACCGTTCTGAAGGTGATTGCCAATTACTTTCCTTCCTATGGGTGAGTCTTGCTGAACATCTATACTTTTAGGTTTGTATGTGTCTGATATAAAATGCATATATAAATCTAGGGATTTACCATTTTATAATTTTTTCAGTAACCTGAGGCAGAAGGATTTCACTCCAGTTCCCAAATAGCCCACAGAATTGTTTAAGCTATCTGGAAGTGGAGTGATGGTGGTGCTGATGGAACTCTGCTCAGAAAGTCAAGGGAATAATCTGGTCCATACTGTAGATAAAAACCATGTTAAAATAGTAGAACAAAGAAATGAAAGCAATATGGTTAGAGAGATCTAATATTACCCATACAACCAAGAAGATGTGGATCAACTGCAAATTTCCTGATCTTTCAAAGAGGATTGATGTAATAATAATAGAATACTTTAATTAACTATGATATTAACCCTTCTAATCACCTAATATGATCTTCCATTACTTGCGTTTATCACTTCCTCCTTTATATTGTGGAAGAAAGCACATGAAGATCAGTTATTCATAGTATAATACTTATCATTATGGAAGATTCAAGGCCTTTTCTCACTTGCACTTAACCAGATATGCTGTGACAATATCTTAATTTCATCCCCAGGCCATAAATTGTGCTTAGCTGTACCAACATTAAAATACAGGCATCTACCTTAAGCTGACAACATCCAATAACATCAGCAAGGTGTGGTAAAAATTTGTTAGATCACGTCTTCCATTATGTTGGAAGGAAGGTCAGATATAGCAGGTAAGATCAAAGAGACGCTTACTGGCCATTTAAGGCTGATGTAGACAGGCCTCCTCCCCTTTAGTCTCTGGTGACCTTTGGTGCAAGAAGTTTACTTGTGAGGGTTTGAAATGGTGTACCAGTGAAATGGCATAAGAATCTCATAGTGGTATAACAGTGGGGTAACACTGAAAAGGAGTAACATGCTCCTTTTCAGCAAAGCACAGCACAGCACAGCATAGAAGACTGCAAAATATGTCATAGAGTTTTTCAAAAGTAGACATGAAAACTCATGGAAGGAGAAGCTAATGGGAAAAGTTGCTCAAAAAGGGTGGAACTTGCTTTAAAAAGTACTACTGTAAGGTGGAAGAAGGGGGAGGGCAGCGTACAAGGCTCAGTGAAGCTTTTAAAATGAAAAAGGACAAAGAAGGTGAAAAGAGGGAAAGCTGATCAAGGAAAACTCAGACAGGTAACCTAGAACTGTAGAGAGAGTACTAGGAAAGCTAAAGATCAAGATCAGCGGAAATTACAATATATGAGAAAAACACCAAAAAGGGGTGGTTTTGTTTTTTACATAAACATGCCAATTGCTCAGTGAAGTTGGCAGAATACTACTAAGCAACAAACAAAAGGCTACTCAACTTCTTTTCTGTCTAAATAATTTCCAGTGAGACGATTGGAGTTTGCCAGACATTCCAGAATGAAAGAACTGGATTGAAATTTGATATTGATAGACACATAGTTATGGGATTTATATATCTACACACACACACACACACACACAGAGGCAGTGTGTGTATGTATGTATGCATGTATGTGTGTGCATGTGTGTGTGTGTGTAAATCTTTATGTCCAGATGAATTGCATCTAAATGTATTGAAGGAAATTGCTGAAGGTCTAGTGAATAATTTTTCATTATCTTTGAGAAATACTGGAAAACTGCTGAAGTGCTAGATGAACAGAAGACAAACATTGTCCCTGTCTTCCAAAAGGGTAAAAAAGAGGATGCACAGAGCCATAAATTACCCTGATATTAATACATGTGAGATGCTAAAGCAGTTCATGAAGATATTATCTATATGCACCTTGAAAACAATGCCATATTTACCAGATGCCAGCAAGAATTTGTCAAGAACCAGTTTTGATAAACTATTTCATTTTTAAAAAATTAAGTAACCTTTTTAATAGATTGTGGAGTGTTTAGATATGATATATATTGATTTTAGCAAAGCAGTTGGAAAAGGTACTCCATGACATTCTCATTAGCAACCTGCTTCAATACAGGGTGAATGTCATGACACTTAAGTTGATACATGGTTCAAAATTGTAGAGAATGCTTGTCAATAGATCTTCATCAAACTGGAGTGAGATATCTAGTAGGATGTCAAATAGGTCAGTCTTGGGTCTTATACTCATCAACATTTTTATTAATGGGGTGGAAAGTAATAAATGAAAGCAGGAATAGGATTCTTGAAATACAGCAGGAATTGTTACAGTGTTGGAGCTGAAGTAAATAAGGAATGTTAGGTGGATGTTGCTTTAGGTAATAATACATATTGGTCCAATACAGCCACACAGCTTTGGAGCCAGACCAACAGTGTTGCAATTGTGTGAATGTTGGTGTTAAAATGTAATACTGACAAAAATAGATATACAAGAATACTTCAGTCTGCACACACTATGCACTATGTGAAACTTTCTGTCTCATTCTAGTTCTTATAGCATTTCATTCTTCTTTCTCTGAGAGGAAACTAAAATGCAGCTTTGAAATATACTTCTATAAATACATCAAAAGCGATATAATTTTTTTATCTGAACACATAACGAGCCCCTTTGAGTTCAGTGGCACTTCCAAATAGACATATTTAGCATTACTTTTTAATTAGATGAGAATTTTACAAGACTGTCAGTAATGAAACTAATAAGAATCAAGCAAAACTAGCACTTCTAAAGATATTCTACCTTTAAACATTAATCTTGTCACCTGACAGTCATTTTTCTGTGACCCAATTATGTGGGTGGGCTGAAGGCAGGTCATGTGGGTACAAGTCTTGGAACCAGCAAACTTCAGTGTGTGTAATATACATCTATGTATGCAACCCCCCTTGTGGTCAGCCTCAGTCCATATCAGAGGTCATTAGCTTTTTCAGGTGTTAACACATGATTTTGCATGAGGCTAGGGTATCAAAAAATATAATTCTAAAATGAACTTCTTTTGAAGAAATGTTTTGATCACCAAATTATGAATCCCACCTGAGATTATTGTAGGTAGCATGGTGCCTGTGTGTGTTGTGTTGCCAATCCCTGATTGACTTGATTCAGTCACTGTTACCATACCCACATGGAAGGAACTCCCAGCAAGTCCCATGCACACTGAGCACTGCTGCCTTGTGTACCAATTTCAGTATGGAGCATAGGAGAATCCCCAGATGCACAAGAGAAGCTTAACAATTTAGCAATTGTGGCCTAATCAAGATTTCAACCTGTGCCCCTAGAAATAAAATACCGTTTATTAACAATTGATTCATCCATTATATCAACTGAGAATCATTACTAATAATACTGATTGTATCCTGCACCTTAAGACAACTTATTAAAATTACTACAATGCTTATAATTTCTTACATTCCTTTATTTTCATACTTACTATTAGTCAATACTAAAAATATTTGGTTTTGTGTCTCCCTTTTATGGTGATTAGCAGGAAAAGGCTAACTGCAATCTCATTTTATCCTTCCATTTTTTTTTTTAATTTTCTAGTAGCACAAAAAATTCCTACTTTCACTTGCCATCTTGCATATGGTTCGATATCAGTCTTGAAATGAAGAGTTTCTGTTCCTGTGTAGTTCAGAAAAGGTATCGAGCATTCTACCACTGTCAGATTCAAAAATGTTGCTTTTGTTATTTCGTGTTCTCTGGCTATCCATTCAC